ATAATCCTGCAACTTGCATACATGGCCAGAGGCTCCTGCAGGAAAGATGGTGTGTTTTCCAAGTCCCAAGCACAGCTTTCCACAGGCTGCAGGACAGGAAGCACAGCCTGCAGGACTGACAACAAGGTGTGTCCCCACAGATAGATCCTCCTGCTTTGAGCATCCTGATACTGGTGCCAAGATCAAAGTTTTACTTTTACATGAGTCACAGGTAGTGACATTGGCTGCTGATTCTAATTGGGCTGTGATTTGCTGGCTCACAGCCTGGAGGATTTCCATGTGCTGACCTCAGGAACTTGGCTGTGAGCACAATTAATCACTATGGGCACACCCAGAGCCTGGCTCACAGTAAGTAAACATCTTCCCCTAATCAGACTCACAGACCAGGTAAAGAACTAAGGACATAAAGAAGATCTCATTACTTATATGGGGATTAAAGAAAGTAGGAGCCAATAAACTGCCAGCTGTGCAGCTCCTCCTCCTGCTAAAGACACAGCTACAGCTGCTTAGTCTGTGCATTCTTCCTTTCTAACCTGAAAGTTGAAAATTTCATCAGCTCAAGCAATAGGTGCTTGTAGGTTTTTGTGCAGCCAGCAGATGCTCTGTGGCAAGGCAGAGATGTTCAGCTGCTCCTCTGGCTCTCTGCAGGCCAGAGCACAGCCAACTATTAGAGTGTATCCAGCAAAGATTCAGCATCTCAGTAGTCAATGGAGCATCTTTGCTTCTCAGATCTTGGAGAGGCAGATAATGAAGTGGAAACACTACATTTTAATTTGCTTCAGTTTCAGATAGATGGGTTATTTGACCAGGACATCCAACAGTACAAAGACATACTGCACAGCAGGAGAAAAAGTGCCACAGCCTGAACTGAGGCACTCAGCTCCTTCTAGAAGGAAAGGACTCCCTGCAGGCCAAAGGTGGTGCTGGGGACATGGACAAGCATGGGTAGGCATATTTTCCCACTGCAGAGATAAGCAAAAGAATAGAGAGCACAGGAACAGGGAGCTGACTGTAGCCAGGCTGACTGGGGGGTGAATAAGGCAGGATTAAGAACTCCAGGCCATTTCAAGGTCCACTTGTGCGCTGCCACCAGGAAATACACACAGGATCAGGTACCTGTTTGTATATAAAGGTCACACTATGCAAAAAGCCAAGTCAAGACCTGGAAAGGGTAATCAGAGGGGCATAGGTTTCCCCTGGAGACATGCAAACCAGTGGTGCCTGGTCTCTAAACTGCATTCTTTGGCACTAATCAAGTCCCCTTGGCATAAACCAGGGTGTGTAGGTTTCCAATTTCCTGGCACCAAAACAGCCAAATCAGAGGGAAGAACTGGAGGCAACAACATGCCAGTGAGTCACCCATCCATGGAAGGACACTAGTTCCCTTTCTGCTCTGTGGGCTGAGAAATGCAGAAAGAGACCTGCAACTCAGCCATATTTTCTGCTCTCATGAACACTGACTTTGTGCTCAAATATCCTAAAGGCCAGAGAGAACATTTCTTACAGTCCAAAAAGTAAACAACCATGATGCAAAGAACTTCAGGGGAAACAAGTGTATCCTATAAATATTATTCTGCAGTGCTGCATGAAACAGCAAATGCAATGTCTGCCACTACCATAAATTCTTCAGAGTGGTACAGAAAATGCAAAAGGAAAACGTTGATACACAAATCTATCAAAACAAACTCCACATATTCTTCCTTCTCAACCTCAGGGCAGTTACTGCTGGAAACTTCCCCTCTCATTCTTTCAGGCTTTGATTTTGTCATCAGTCCTTTAGGATCAGTCAGGACCATGCCCTTCCCAGCTGCTCATCCCTGTTTTCTTTGTGCCAACTCTACAGCTCACCTCGCCTGTGCTGAGCAGATCAGGGAGTGGATCCAGTTGGAAGACTCACAAGAAAAAAAGAGCAGTGAAGGTGGATTTCAGCTGGCTCCAACTACCAGACCAGCTCAAGGCACACAAACATTAGAGTGTGTCTGGAGGTGGTAAAACAGAAACAATACTTTTGGCAGGAGCCCACATTATGCTTCATTTAAGCAACTGGATAACCATGGACTTCACTGAAGGTGATGCTGAACAATGCAAGGTTATCTTCTGAGAAGGGCATGGCCACAAGCTTTTAAAGCAAAAAGCTGTTGTAGAAAGCTGGCTAAGTAAAGCTAATCAAGACTTGGACTTCCACATCCTGATATTAGACAAAACTTGAGATGTTCAGATTGGAGAAATGACTTGCTTTATGTAGGAAAATCCTGCACCTTTTTCCATTCAAGAATTCTAACTCTAAAAGCTCTAGGTCTCAGTCACGGAGTGGTTCTTGCACTTCACTGACCTTAATGCTCTTGCAATAGTTCTGTTTCAACTAGATAAGATATGGCCTAATGCAGAAAACTTACTGAATCCAGCATGGCAAGTAAGCTGACCGCTAATAACCTAGCTCTGCACAAAGCTACCATTCTACATGGTGCTCTGTATGCGCTGCTGTTGGGAAAGGATAATAAATATACACTGACAACCTTAATCCAGGTCTCAGACTGACCAACTTGAGTGTGTGACACTATACTAAGTGCCCTCTGTGCAGCTTTCAAGTCTGCATATAAGTCTGGGGTATCATGAGACCAATGAAATTCAGTCTTCTGATCTTCTGTGGCTGGGGCAGTCACTGGGGGAAAAGGAGACTCCACAAAACTGTTTCACCTTCACTAAGAAAGGACTCCCCACTACATTGCTTTGCAAGTGTGGAGTTTCACCCATACATAGAGAGCAGAAGGGCAGTTGGTTTTTAGATACTATTCTTTAACTAGGAACATCTGTGTTCCTAGTGTGCACTTTGGGGCACAGCAGTAGTTTGGAGACAGATCTCTTGCAAACAAAGGTGAGAGTGGTTACAGCAGTTCTGCCCAGTAACGACTGAAAATTCAGCATACCAGTTGGGTTGGTGCAAAGTCTGGGCAGGCCAACTGAAAAGGACTTATGTTCAAAACTTCAGAGCAATGGCTGTTGTAGAAGTCACAGCTGATTAGCCTATTATTTACTGTCTTATTTTACACTTATCATATTTTATGGCTGAAATTTCATGCTTGAGCCTTGACAAGCTGACTTGATGTAGAATGAAGCAACTTCTAAAGTAATTATTTTTTTATTACATGCTACCACACAACTGCATTAGTAACCTCAGGAACAAAGGGCTAGTTCAAGATAGTGAGAGCTTCAACATAAAATACACTTTCTGTACAGCTCCACAGAGACCAAGCAAAAGATCCTATTTCAAGCTGAAGAACATGGACTTTCCAAGCATTTTTTCCAAATCTAGTAATGGTGCAATGGAGAAGTGAGATGTCACACAGATCAGGTAAGTTCCAGTAACCACACAAAACATACAGTACACTATGTCAACACAGCTGATATAAATCCCTGCACAGATCACATTTAAGGGGGGGATGTTTTAGGTAAGTTTTTGAAGGCACAGAACAAAGTATTGTCATCACTTGTGGTTATGCTGCCTCTCACAGAGGTGTCTGGACAAAGCTACTGCTTTATTGTTTTTAAGCTCACCTAGATAAAAACATACACAGCCCTTTACATATCCATCTTTGACATGTAATATATGAAATATCTTATTTTTAGGCATGGTACCTTTCTCCCAAAAGAAGACTTTTCCACTGAGATAAATCATTGCAGGCAGTAACTCAAACTAGAGGATTGTCAGGACAGAGTGAAGATGCTTTTTACAAAGGGGGAGCATAGAAGGTCTAGTTTGAAAACACATGTGAATGTGATACTTCTAAGTGAACTTACCAACCAGCTCCTGAGGATCTCTTTTCTCCAGTTCTGAGAATTCCTGGGAGGAAGGGGGGAAAAACAGATTTTAGTCAAGGTGTGCTTCCAATCTTAAAAGCTATGCTGTCAATTTCTTTAGAAATTTACACATTACTTATGAGACAAAAGAATAAAAATGAAGAATAAATTACAAGTTATTAGATAATAGGACAATGTTTGTACCATGGAAAGTCAAAGCCTAACAGGGTGCTCTGTTTCCCTTCAAAGCTAGAGTCTAAATTTAATGAAAGAATTAAGGCTTTGTTTCAGTGACCGCTGGACACTCAGCTCCTTTTGAATTCCACAAGAACTGCTGTACTCAAAGCCTTTCCTCAAAACAGATCAAACCACAGATTCTTCATGTTTTTTGTGACTTGCCCTTGGCACCAGCCAAGAGTCAGTGTTTTGGAGCACAGCTAAACACAAGCTGGATCCAGCCCACAGAAAACTACTTAAGCCCTGGGAATGCCTGTGCAATGCAGTCTCTGAGCAGGGTCAGCAGGTTGCATTCCCCAGGGTAACATGAAAACAGCTGAAATTTTCCTAGAGCCAGAGGCAGAGCACAGCGACCAGAGCAGGATATGCTTGGCCTCCCTGCAGACACCCAGGGCTCAGCAGGGTCCTGGGCTGCCCAGGTTTGCCAGCCACATATGTGTGGTGCCAGAATTCCCTGCTCTGATTGCACCATTCAGGGTCTTGGCTAATAAATCCTCTACAAACCAAAGTGCCAGGAGTTTGGAGGTGATGCAGGTCCTGCATTTCTGTTTTTGAAGAAAGTTCCCACTGTCAATTCTCTCTTGGCTGCTACTTTCCAGGAGTGATACAGTCAGTCTGCTCTATGAGAAACTCCAGGGCAACTTCCACTGACTTGTAATGCTCTCTGTGGAAAGCTCCTGAGCACAGTTAACCTCTCCTTGGTTGTATTCATATAAAACAACGCAGCTCCAGTTGAAGGAGCACAGCAGAGTCTGCTGAGCAGGAGGTGTTACCTTATAGGATAAGACACTCTTAAATATGCTCTCACCATAATGAGACCAGCATTCAAATATTTTGGTGCTTCTGAGAGACCCCAGGAGAGACCCAAGAGATATCAAGTTCAGCACAGATAAAGTCTCTGAAACAGTATCAGCTGTATCCCAACATTGCCCTCTCCCCCACTGCCTCCCTCCCAAAGACCTTTTGTGACTCACTGGACTGTGCATCCAAAATTCCTCAGTGCGTCCAAACACTGAAGCTATTCATTCAACCTGACACAGACATAATGCTGCCTCCTTGCTGCTTAGAAACCACTCTCTAAACCCCCTCCTTTAATCCATTTCCAGTCAGGTGAGAGATGCTTAAGGTGAGGAGAAAGCAGCAAGGTCACCAAGTCAGATCTGGGAACAGGCTGTGTCAAATTCACTGTGAAAACCCAATTTCCAGAGAAGCCAAAGCCCTCTGGAAGCAGAAAAGCAAATTCTTTGTATGGCATTAATTGCTACAGGGCACTTTTTATAGCCATTCATGAAAACAAACCTAACCAAACAGGACTGTTTCTCCTCAAGCACACTGGGACCACAAAAATATAAAGCTTTTTTTTTTAAAAAAAAAAAAGAGAAAGTAGTACATGAAGGAATATACATCTTCTCACTGGCCCCAGGCCCTTTGTGAGATGGACCATAGTGTAACAGCTCCAACTCCTCTAAACTGATGCACTTGGGGTAGCACATCAACACCTCTTCTCCTAGGGTCTTCAGAAAGAAAAGCACAAGCAGAAAAAAAATTAAAAGAGAAACATGACATTTCAAAGCAGAACTTATGTCCAGAGAAGGAGCTCTCTTTGGAGAGAGCACTGGACAGGAATGCAGGGAATATAGGCTGTGTTTTCCACAAACCCATGCAGATGGGGTGCTAAAGTGGTGAACCTCAACCAGATGGACACAGTGTGAAGGTGGTGAGCACCAGCTTGGCCACCAGAGCAGTGTGGGCAATGCAGCAGTAACTAACAGGTTGTGAGGACAAATTCATATCAGCGTGCATGTGTTGTATGCAGGCTGGAGAGGTTCAAAGAGCTACAGAAACATCTGTCCAGGCAGCACTGAGTGACTCACTGGGCAGCAAACGTGGTCAGAAGTTGCTGTGTTTCCGTTAGGGAAAG